CATCTTTATATAATAAATATATTTAAAAAATAACTATTTGACGTATCCATGTACCCGTATCCACATTTGGATCCACCACGCATCCTCAATTTTTAGTTTTGAAGTATCCGACCCCCATATTCGCACCCACACCAGATACCCACAACCGACTCCGTATAACGTAGCTGAGCATAATTCATTTGATGAATAATGCCATGATCATGTACTCTAAAGTATTATCAGATTGAAAGACTTTAATATATTTGCCAAATCGGGTAACAATTTCATTATAGAACTTTAAAATGACATGGGTTAACTCAAGCCTCTGTTTCATTAAAAACAACCATGTCATCTGAGAGTAGTTATCAACGAAAATAACAAAATAAGAAGTTGGAGTACGAGAAGGACTTCATATGTCTATGTGGATTATATCAAAAGACACATACTCATGACTAACACTAGAAATAGAACTATGATGATATTTTCTAAACTGACAAGCTTCACACTTGAGATTAGATATATGATTCAAACTAGGTATTGCTAACTTAAGTTTCGCCATTGATAGATGACCCAAGTGAAAATGCCACTAAAGTGGAGAGATAGCGCTTAAAGTGGACAAAGTGCTAGGAGGAGAGCAATCAGGATCCAAATATTATAAGCCATATTTCTCATGCCCTGTATTAATCATCTTCTTAGTCTTGAGGTCCTACAGGCCATGGGACCCATGAATAGGAACAATAGTATGTGTAATAGGCTACAAAGTAGTGAAAAGAGATGGATTACCATAAATATGAGAACTAGCACCAGAATTGAGGAGACAAGCTTGGGGGGACGTTGCCTTACATGCGATATTACTTGAACTACCTAAGGTGGCAACAGAAGATGAGGGTAGAGTAGCATGAAGGGAATTGACAAGCTCAGTAAGCTCGTTAATATGAGCAGTGAGTGCATCATGAGCATCAGAAGGAGTTAGCGCCTGCTAAAAAGGAGAACCCTTATCCACCACTTGATCCACAGGCTATGTTTGGCATGAAGGTTTGGGTTAAGTTGGGGCTATTTTAGCCACAAAAAGACAAAATATGTTTTTTAGCCCAATAAGACAAAATGTCACATCCGAACTATAATCATTTCATTTTTTCTTTCATAAAAGTCAAAAAAGTCAAAAAAACCTATCCCAAACGAGACTTTTTAGCCCCAGGCTAAAATAGTTAAAATGTTAAAAAGCCAACCCACATCTCAAATGAAGGCATAGTCTGGCTTACCATACTATTTCCAACACCAAGGTTCAGTATGGCTAGTGGAACCACAATGATCACACTTCTTATTACCACGAGACCTCTGTTATCAGAATTTTACAATTCACGATTCGATTAGCAATTTTTGCAAAATTGATACAAATCTATGTGTGAATTTGTTTTGGAAGCGAATCTCTACTGAATCGTATGATTCATAATTATTTCAAGATTCAATTCACTTTTTATGACTCATGCAATTCTTGAAACTCTCATGTTCGATATATTTCGATAATCACCTTCAATATGAATTATTTATTGCTATTTTATTGAAATAAATATACTTCAATATTACATGGGTGAGATCAGTTAAACCTAATGGTTCTGCACATTTTGTAATTTTTTTAAAATACTTTTTTTGAACATTAATCATATATACTATGTTTTGGAATAAAAGATTCCAATTAATTTTTTCTTATTATTGGGTCATTGCTACTTGTAAAGGTATGTATGCTTATAAAATATCAACATTATTGTTAAGTTATTGTTACTTGTAAAATGAGAGTTTGTCTTTGTTTACTTTATTATTAAAAATGGTTGATACGCAATATCTAAAAAATGGAAAAAGGTAAGATGGTGCTCTCACATGGGAACCTGTGTTAACTTCTTATTTATTAGACTACGCATGATCATCATTCGAAACAACATTTTTATTGATTTAAGTCTAATAGTTTGTATTTATAAGATATATTACCATCCAAATGTGTATATCTACATTACACGGACTCTTTGAAATTTTGGAGGTACCTGTGTCGACATGACATGACACGGGTGCGAGTGTGGGTGCGGGATACAACCGGGATACGGCTCCTTCAAAAGGGATACGGAAGAAGAAACAATAGAGGAGAGAGCAAGGAGAGAACTTGGTCATCGACTTCAATCTGACTTGGTTGCAGAGTTGATTGATCGATCTGCGAAGTTGATCGATCTGCGAAGCTTGATTTGCGAAGTTGATCTACTGTGTTCCTTCGTCTTCCCCTTTGAGATCTCTCTCTCTCTCTCTCTTGATCAGTCTCTGTCTCTTCTTTTTAATATAATTTGATTTATTTATAATATAAATTATATTAATATAATATTATTCATATTGTATAATATTATTTACCCAAAAAAATATTATATTATATAATATAATATATAATAAATAACATAATTTTTATGACTAAAATTAAAATAATTTATTTTATCACATATAATATAATTTATTTTATGTCTAAAATAATTTTTATTTATTATTTATTTTTTTTAATAAAATTTGTTATTCCTTAACTTTTTTTTAAACTCATCTTCATATAATAAATATATTTAAAAACAACTATTTAACATATCCCCGTACCCATATCCTAATTCGGATCCATATCCACGTATCCTTAATTTTTAATTTTAAAGTGTCCGACCCCTAGATATAAACCCGCAACCAAGTCCGTTTAACGTAGGTGTATATATATTTTTCTAAGTAATTTAGAAAAAGTTACGAATCTTTACGATTCATGATTTTATTCACGATTTGACAACTATGCACGAGACGTGTAACCACTACTACGAGAGCTACCCCCACGAGTGCCACTATAAGAACCTGCACCTCATGACATATTCCCACGAGCACTATGAGAACCACAGTTACCAGATCCACCATGGAAATCACCACAATTAGTACCACGGCTGCCACTACTAGAAACCAAAGCAGAAGAAGTGAGAGATGAGGTAGTGAAGCTTTGCCCTAATGAGGAACGTAATAAGTGGGAGTAGACATTAGCAGCTGTAGGCAAAGTCTCACTAGCAAGAATTTAATCCTCAGTGCCCCATAAGTCAGAATCCAAGTAAGAAAGTAATGATGCAATGATAAACTCTACTCAATTTAGCTTTTGCTGTTCTAAATCAGTAGTAAAGGGTTGGTGCTGCTAGAGTTGATCCCACAATTTCTTAAAGTGTGTTGTGATATTCAGACAACGAATGGCCATACTACTTTGTGACAAAAATTCTGTCATACGATTCATACACACGAGAAACATTACTTCGATGGGAAAAAGACTCAGCAAGAGAGTCCCAAATCTGTTTTGTTGTAGATGAAATTTGGTTGTGATATGCTTATATTGAAGGTGAAGAGTTGCTAGAATCCAGAAAATATGTTGTTGCTTGAATTTGAAAGAGTAACTGATTGAGTTCTGTGGTGTTGAAGGCCTATAGGGTAGGATGATGGCTGGGGTTCTAGTGGGGAGTTAGGTTGGATATATGATGAATATAGAGTCAGGTTACAATCACAGCTAAAATCCCTTATGCATAAGATGTGGGGTTTGGGTTGCATGGCACAATTGGTTGAGAGCTCTTAAACTACTCATAAATTTGGTAATTGATCTCTGTTGGATTCAAAGAGCATGTAGAGATTTATATAGGCTGCTCTACATCATATGCAATCACAGCTAAAACCCCTAATGCATCATACGCGAGGTTTGAGTTGCATGGCATACTTGTAACTTTGGTAGATGATCTCCAATGGATTCAACATGTTCAGATATATATAGGCTGCTCTCCTTAGTAACTTCCTGAGGCTGAAAACCAGCATTAGAAACAACATATTTTGAACTGAAGTATAAAACTTATCTAAAGGCACTGAAGGTGGCTGGCTGCAGATGAAGGCCTGTTAGCATGAAAGCAAGGTCTTCATATGGTCCTCAGTTCTCTGGACCTTGGGGGCATTTTTTTAGCCCTTTATGCAACTCTAAAGGATACTATAACAAGTCTCTATCAGTTGCTTTTATTAACAGTCCTGGGGATCATAGTTTTGGAATTCTATCCAAGCTTCGATTGTAGAAACCCCTTCATTTTAGTTCTCTAGTTTTGCAACTTAGTTGATTGTAGAAACCTCTTCATTTTAGTTCACTAGTTTTGCAACTTAGTTGGATTAACTATCCACTTAGCATTTTCTTCTATGACTCTGCACACAAATGTGCAGAAGTGGACATGAACAACTTTCTGTCTCATTAATGTAAGAATTTATGTATTATTGATTGATGTCTTGATTGATAGATTACAAGATGCATTAATTACAATTCCTATACAATCTATATATAGAAGAAAATGTGGTAGTAGGTGTAGTGGAGGTGATAGTGGGTTAGGTGAAGTGGAGTGTGTAGTGGAGTAGGTGAAGGTAAAGATGGGAAATTCTAACAATGATGTAAGACTTGGCTTGGCTGAAATTTTGATTAAGCAAGGTCTTCATATGGTCCTCAGTTCTCTGGGCCTTGGGAGCAATTTTTTTGCCCTTTATGCAACTCTGAAGGATACTGTAACAAGTCTCCATCAGTTGCTTTTATTAACAGTCCTAGTGATCATAGTTTTGGAATTCTATCCAAGCTTCAATTGTAGAAACCCCTTCATTTTAGTTCACTAGTTTTGCAACTTAGTTGATTGTAGAAACCTCTTCATTTTAGTTCACTAGTTTTGCAACTTAGTTGGATTAACTATCCACTTATCATTTTCTTCTATGACTCTGCACACAAATGTGCAGAAGTGGACATGAACAACTTTCTGTCTCATTAATATTAATTTGTATTCTTTGAATCATTAAGTTCTGGGCAGCTCAAGGTTTTTCAAGTACTTTATTTTTGGCTTTCTTCCTCTAGATGCTCAAAATAGTATTTTGAATGCAAAGACAAATGATTTTCTTTTCAATTGAAGGAAAATAGTTTTTGCCAACTTATCATTCTCATTGATTTGGGGTTGTTCATGCAGCTTCGGGAAAGCATATCTCAGGATCAAGAGAAAACAGAAGCATTAAAAAGTCAAATACAGGAGCTAGAACGAAACATTCAAAATGTGGATGCTAAGATCCAACACAATGAAGTAACATTAAAAGATTTGCGAAAACTTGAGGATCAGATATCAACCAAGACTGCTAAGAGAAGCACTTTATTCGAGGAAAAGGAGAAACAATTTGCAGCTCTTGCTGAGGAGAATCAAGGTCTGCTAAACAATTGAATTATTATGTTAATTTCACCATACTAGTCTCAATTATTATGTCATTTCACCATACTTGTCTCTTTGTATGGTGCTGATGCTTATCATCTGAATTTTCATTTCTATGGGCACTCTCTAGTTGTTGTGTATAGCAACCATTATTTAAATCTTCAATTTAACTGTTCTTACTTAATTATCATGTTATTTGCCAGACACAGATGAACAGTTGGAGGAATGGAAAATCAAGTTTGATGTAAAGATTACAGAATCAGAATATAAAATTAACAAGTGGGAGAGGGAAGTGAATGACACAGAGACAAAAAGTTCTTTGCTTAGGAAGAAAATTAATGAATATATCTGGGATATCAGCAAGCTTCAAACTGAGGCAGAAGTAATTTTCTAGAATCTAAGCGCATTTTGGTAACTACAAGAGATCCAATAGATATGGCATTTTTTACTAATTGGATCTTATTTTTGGCTCCAGGCCCATGTCTCCTTGTGTAATGAAAGAGATTCAATGATTCAAAATCTTTTTGCAAGGCATAATTTAGGGTCTGTTCCAAGTACTTCATTGAGCAATGAAGTTGCTTTGAACCTCACAAATCGCATAAAATCAAGGCTAATGGATCTTGATAGGGACTTGGAAGATAAAAAGGTGATGATTATTTTGTTTTAGCTAGTTGTTTCCTTTTTTTACGAAAATATGTAGAGGCTGAAGGTTATCTCCAGTTATAAAAACTGCTTTTGCTAGCTGGAAAGTCTTTTATTCTTCTACTTGATGGTTATTGATGCTTACAGTAATCCATGTATTCATCATATATATTTTTTCCCCTTAAATATATATGTGTATGAAAGTCTTCTAGATATCAAATATTTATGTATATGTATATAATATTTTGTTTTTCGTGGTTTAGGTGGAAGTTGAGGTTCAAGTCTTTGTTGGCTTGAATTCAAGTGCTGCATTATCAAATTTTCATTCCTTTTTTCCCATTTAAAATGCCTTCTTTTTTACTGTCTTTCACTTATCCCTGCTGAATTTTGAAGTTATTTGCTCATGTATTTACCTTTGGATTCATGCTAGTTCTATTTCCAGCTTATGCACCAAAAGTAGTATAAAAATTTCTTTGCCCGATCTTATGTAGTTATCGTTGGTGTTTTTATGCTGGAAAGGGAATTTAATCAAGCATTTTAGGATGTCCCACTGTCAGCTTTAATGAGTTGGGGACTTTAATTCTTGGGCATTGTGGTTGGGAAAGTAAAATCAGCGTTAAATTGGCTGAGATTTACAGCTGCTTTGGGACTAAAAGCAAAAAGGTTAAACTTGCTGTTTTTTTGTGGACAAAGAGGATTGTTCGAGGCCTTCTAGGATTGTCACGTAGAAGAGTTTAATAGAAAGTAAAATTTAAGTGTTATCAGTCAAAACTTATATAAATGTTTCTGCAAGGCTAGCTTATTTAAAAGTTTTAGGCTCTCCTACTATTTTAAGATTTTCCAAATTTTTATTTGGAAAGATTTTCCAAATCCAATTAGGTCAAATATATTCCAAATAAGAAAAGGACTTAGGATTTAATAATATTACCAATTACCCTAGAATCTTTTAAATTACATAAGTACCCCTTATCAAAGAAATTTACCATTTGTTCCCATCTTCTAGTATACAAATTAGGGCTGATCACCATTAGTTAGGATTGTTCAAAAATCCGAATAACTTGTCGGCTGCGGTTGTAAATCATTATTTTTCTTTGATTTTCAGTCAGATGTTGGGCTTAATAAAAAAAAATTTGCCTAACCTGACCTGACAATATATATATATACACGTACTTCAACAATTGTGTAGGATTTACTTGCTTGGGAAAATTAAACAGTAGAGGCCTCATTATTTCAGTTTTCAATATTTTTTTCATTCCAATAGTTTTATATCTTTCCAATACAAAACTTACACTCTTCCCAAGTCATAAAATTGACTTTCACCTACTCTCGTCTCCCCCCACCTCAATCTTCACGTCTTTTCTCTCTTTTCTTTCTCACTCTCTTTTAAGAGACAAAGCCATCTTTCAGTCGCTTCCTCATTTCTTCTCTCTCTCTCTGTGTATCTATCTGTGTGTTTTGATAGACAACCCATCTCTCACTCTCTTCTTCATCTTAGTAACAACGGTGGTGGTTGTGATTGCAATGGCGATGATGTTGTCTGAGCGGCATCGTGGATGATTAGTGACGGCGATGGTGATGGCGATGCCACATTACCTTGCTTCCTATGAAAGAGAAGGTTGTTGCCAAGCCAACTTTTAGTTCCAATACCTTACTTGCTTCCAAGGAGTTTTTAGAAAAGAGTTGGGATTTCAGGATTGTCTTGATTTTGGTTCTGATTGTGCACACGGTTGCTACTAAAGAAGAGGTTGATGTGACTACTCTTTTGGAAGAGTATGTCGATGTTTTTCCCTAAGAGCTTCCTTTCGATTTGCCTCCTATGCGGGACATCCAACATCATATTGATTTGGTACCCGGGTTGGTGCTTCCAAATAAACCTACTTATTGCATGTCTCCAAAGGAGAAAGAGGAGTTGCAACTACAAGTACAAGAGCATTTGGCTAAAGGGTATATTCGGCCGAGTCTTTGTCCTTGTGGTGTTCCGGCTCTTTTGGCACCTAAGAAGGATGGTTCATGGCGTATGTGTGTGGATTGCCGAGCAATTAACAAGATCATAATCAAATATCACTTTCCAATTCCAAGATTGGATGATATATTGGATTGCCTTGCCGGTTCAAAGGTGTTTTCTAAGATTGATCTTAGAAGCGGTTATCTTCAAATCAGCATTAGGCCGGATGATGAGTGGAAAACGGCTTTTAAAACACCTAATGGACTATTTGAGTGGCTTGTGGTGCATTCAGGCTTACTTATGTGCCAAGTACCTTTATGATGGTGATAACACAAATGTTGCAACCACTTTTGGTTGTTTGTGTAGTGGTTTACTTTGATGATATCTTGATCTATAGTTGAAGTTTGGAAGAGCATTTGTGCCACCTCTAGCAAGTCTTCAAGCTTTTGAGGCAAGAAAAGTTCTATGGCAACACCAATAAATGGACCTTTGCCGTGGATCAAGTCATTTTCTTAGGTTATGTTGTTTCTTCCTGGGTGCTAATGGACATGGAGAAGGTTAAGGCGATTGTGGAATGGCTACTCCCTCCCTCTATTAACCATGAAGTGAGGATTTTTCATGGGTTGGCTACCTTCTATAGACGGTTTATCCGTAACTTTAGGAGCCTTGCTGCCCTTTAACCAACATTTTTCAAGCTTAAGACTTTCGAATAGAGGAAGGAAGTCGTTGATAACTTCCAACTATTTAAGAAGGTGCTTACTGAAGCTCCAATTTTGGCGCCACCGAAGTTTGACAAGACCTTTGAGCTTGATTGTGATGCCTTTGGAATGGGCATTGGAGGTGTCCTTAGCCAAGAAGGAAAGCCAATCTCCTTCTGTAGTGAAAAGTTGAACGGGGCTAAGCTCAAGTATTCAACTTATGACCTGGAGTTTTATGCCATCATCTAAGCTAACAAGCATTGGAGCTACTACCTTGCTTACAAGGAGTTCGTGCTCAACACCGATCATAAGGCCCTCAAATACATCAATAGCCAATACCATCTTAACAAAAGGCATGCTAAATGGGTGGCTTCCTTGCAACAATTTATGTTTGCCTTGCGCCATAAATCGAGGGTTCTTAATATGGTGGCCGACAGGTTGAGTAGGAGAACAAGAACGACTCTCTTGTTGAGATGAAGAATGAAGAAGTGGGTTTTGATGAGTTTTGTACATTCTATATGAGTGGTCTTTACTTCCATAAGATTTTTGATGCTTTGCAAATCCAAAGAGGGGATAGAGCTATTTATCCAAGTTACATGTTAAAGGATGGATTCCTCTTCCATGGTCTGAAGTTGTGTGTTCCTAGTTGTTCTTTGAGGACACATTTGTTGTTTGAGCATCATAAGTTGGGCTATTTTGGTAAGGACAAGACCCTTGGATTACTTCAAGATGCCTATTATTGGCTGGGCATGACCAAGGATGTGGGTAACTATGTGAAGCGGTGCCAAATTTGTCAAAGAAGTAAAGGCACTACAACTAATTCGGAATTATATATGCCTTTACCGGTGTCGGATGGTCCTTGGCAATGAATTAGTATGGACTTCGTGTTGGGTTTACGTCCTACTACCGCGGAGTGATTCTATTATGGTGATGGTGGACCGCTTCTCCAGGATGACACTTTTTATTCCTTGCAAGAAGACCATAGATGCTACCAATATCGCTAACCTCAAGTCTATAAGTTGCATGTGGTGCCTACCTTTATTGTTTTTGATAGAGATGCGAAGTTCCTTGCTCACTTTTGGAGAACCTTGTGGAAGAAATTGGTACCAATTTGAATTTTAGCACCACCTTTCATCCTCAAACTGATGATCAAGCGGAGGTGGTAAGTTGTGTTAGCATATTATATTAGCCGAAAGTTTCACTAAGGTCTGTCTGTAATCATTTTGTGCCCTCAGGGATTATCTTGTAATTGACTCTCTTGTAAACCCTAATCTTCATTTTATAAATAGAGGGTGATATTCTATCACACCCTTAAGCTGGTTACTCGAGCTTCATGGTATCAGAGCTGAACCTCTAGGGTTTCGGCTCACCCTCGTTGGTAGACCTTTACACCAACGACACTCTAGGGTTGGAAGCTTACCTGGGTGGATCATCACTCAGCCGTCAGCTCGTCTTCCTCGCCTTCCTCTATCGTCTCCCTCACCTCGTCAGCTCGTCTTCCTCACCTCGACGATCTCCTCAGCTCGTCTTCCTCGCCTTCCTCTGTCGTCTCCCTTACCTCGTCGATCTCCTCGCCTTCCTCTGTCGATCGTCGCTCGTCGTCATCGTCCTCAGCCTCTGTCACTGTGGTATGATCTCAGCCTTGGTATATATAAATATATATATATATATATCCTGATATATATATATATATATATATAAATATAGCCTGTTATATATCTTTATATATAAATATATGTATACATAAATAAATCAATATATATATATATATAAAAAAAGAAAAAAAGAAAAAGAAAAAAAGAAAATGGTTTCTTAATTTTGTTATGTCTTTATAGTGGTCATTGTGCCTGTTATCTCACTACCACCTTCCGGATTTGTGATTTCCACTAGTTTTGTTGCGGGTTTGGTAGTATTGTATCCATGACAGATTCCACCAGTGTGTCCCTTTCTTCTCAAACACCAAAGAGTGAGAGTCCCATTCTACCTACTACCATGACTGAGAACCCCAACCCTAGTCTGAAAATCACCACCTCTCTATTTAATGGTCAGAACTACCTAGCATGGTCTCAAAGTTTGACTATGTTTTTGAAAAGCAGAGGGAAAATGGGGTATGTTGATGGCAGGATACAGGCACCTAGTACCACTGACTCAGGTTATGACCAATGGGAGATTACCAACTCTTTGATTATGAGTTGGCTTATCCATTCGATGGTTCCAGAACTTGGTGATGGCTACTTGTCTATGGAGACTGCCCAGGACGTTTGGGAGGCTGTGGCTGTTACCTATTCCCGCAAAGGAAATTTTTCACAAGCATTTGAGTTGCGCCGATCTATTGAGAGCTCACTTCAGGGGGAGCAGATT